AAGTCCCCACCTGCTTCAAGAAGACCACCATCATCCCTGTACCTAAGAAACACATGCAGTGTGCCTTAATAACTACTGCCCAGTGGCTCTGACCTCAATTATCACAAAGCTGGTCGTGGCCCTGTCAACTCCAGTCTCCCAGTCTGTCTCGATCCCCTACAGTTTGCCTACTGACATAACAGGTCCACAGTGGATGCCATATCCCTAGTCCTGCACTCATCCCTGTAGCATCTGGACAACAAAGACACCTACATCAGACTCCTGCTCATTGACTACAGCCCCGCTTTAATCACTATTATCCCCTCTGGACTGATCTCCGAACTCCGTGACCTTGGTCTTGGCTCCGCCCTCTACAACTGGATCCTCAGCTTTCTGACCTACAGGCCGCAATCAGTGAGGATAGGTAACCGCACCTCCTCCATGATAACACTCAACACATGAGCCCTCGAAGGATGTGTCCTCAGCAGCGTACTGTACTTCCTGTACACTCACGACTGTGCTGCCAAATTCTGAACGAATGTCATCTACAAGTTCGCTGATGACATCACTGTAGTGGGACGGATATCTAACAACAACAGGTCAAAATACAGAAGGAAGAAAGAGGGCTTGGTGACATGTTGCAATGAAAACAACCTCTCTCAATGTCAGAAAAGCTAAAGAACTGATCATGGACTTCAGAAAGAAATGAGGAGAACACACCCCATCTACATCAACGGAACTGAGGTTGAGAGTGTGGACAGCGCCAAGTTCCTTGGAGTGACGATATCCAAGAACCTGTCTTGGACTGCCCACGTAGATGAAACAGTCAAGAAGGCCTCTTCTTCCTCAGGTGGCTCAGGAAATTTGGCACGTCCATAAAGTCCCTCACCAATTTCTACAAATGCACCATTGAAAGCATATTGTCTGGGTGCACAACAGCCTAGTATGGCAACTGCTCTGCCCAGGACCATAAGAAACTATAGAAGGTGGTGTGCACAGCCCAGACCATCACGGAAGCCATCCTTCCATCCACAGACTTCATTTACACAGCTCGCTGTGACAGAAAGGCTGCCAACATCATCAATGACCCATCGCACCCTGGTAATGATCTCCTACAACCTCTTCCATCAGGCAGAAGATACAGAAGCCTGAACACACACCCGAGCAAGTTCAGGAACAGCTTCTTCCCTGCCATTATCAGACTCAGGAATGGACTCTCTAGCCTCAAATAATGATTGATCTTGCTAATGTGATCTCGCCTACTCCACGCCCTGTGCAATGTAACTTGTACCTCTGTCTGAGTCATTTTGACCTGTACATCCTTACTTACTATGACCTGTCTGTACTGCTCGTAAACAAAGTTTTTCACTGTACTTTAGGCCACATAACAATAAATCAAACAATCAATTTACAGGTAAGTTTGGGAAAAAAGAAGGGGTGGACGGAAAAAGAAAAAGAAAAAAAATTGCAGATGAAGAGAACAATCCTGGGCACAGGAGCCTGTATGTTGCCTACTCTGTTGCTGCCATCTTGATTTCAAGAGGCACTTCAAGAGGAAGTTGTTTTCCATCTGAGGATGCAGGGTCGACTTGTAACCAATGTGAGGCCTTTCAAAAATCTATTGAATTAATAAGGCAATTATTATTACTTAATACTATATTTAAGTTAAAGAAACCTGTATTCAAGTAACTCTTAACATGAAATGTATGCAGTGACCAGCTGTGTTGTACACAAACTGAAATATGCAGTGTATGGGGAGGCGGAGTGCTGGGGGTGAAATGGTGTTGATAGTGCTGATTCACATCCTCACATCCTAATCACTTAATCTGCAATATCAACACCCTTTCTGCCCCAGTATTCTAACTCCTATTATTGAATAAATATTGCCTCCTCCACACTTCTATCAGCTCCGATGAAGAGTCATCTAGACTTGAAACATTAGCTTGCTCTCTCTCCACGGATGCTGCCTGAGCCACTGTGATTTCCAGCATTTTTGTTTTTGGTACAGATTCCAGCATCTGCAGTAACTTGCTCCTACCTGTGTTGTATACAAATCCTGGCCATAAGCAATCTTGACTATGTCATTACAAATTGATCATAGTCATCTCTGTGAAGGAGAAGTAATTAGAAGTAACCTTAAAATTGTCACCTGCAAGGCAAATTCACAAAGACAATCTAAGGGCTCATAGACTACACAAGGGCACAGGCCTAGTTTCCTCTCATTTTGAACTGTGAGAATTTGCCAATATGTTATTATATATCATGTTGCTTTTCTTTGGTAATGTGGAGGGGGTCACAAGGTTTCAGTAATCCAACCACATTTATGATCTCTTCTACATTTGCACAGCAAAGCTTGTGTTGTATACATCCAAATAAGGTCCACTTTGTCAAAGTTCCATGTACAACGACTGCATGGCTCTACTTGTCAAAGTTCTCCAAATTCCACTGTATGGAGGACTATGTTAAATTGTCAATTGTGTCTGTTGCAAATGTTGACTGTTCATATTACTAAGGACTAGTTCTGTTTCCGAATTTCCCCACTTACATTCGTTGGAACCACAACCAATGGATCCAACGGCTGCAGGGGTTATCGTCATAACGACTGTGCTACAATGAAGGCACAGAGAAACTGAGCCAGCAAGTCTAGTACCAGCACCAACTTCCAGCAGATGTCAAAGCCTCCACAGAAAGGAGTTCCAGTTGAAGATCAGGGTGCAGGGAAGGTACAGGGGGATTACAGTCTATTGTCCCTGTTGCCATTTCCACCAGGAAAGCAATGTTCAATGCCACCACAGACTGCAGATGTCCCAAGACAATAGTTATCGATATATGTCATCTGCTTGATTGGGACTTGTGGCCTCAAAGAATGAGTGGCCATCCTATCTGAGTGATTATCAAGGCAACAGTGCTAAATTGTCGCACAACTGGATGCTTCCAGTGCTCCAGTGGGAACCTGTGCGGGATCTCTCAATCTTCAACCCACAAACATATTAAGGCTTTTACCAGTGTGGCTTGTGACAGACCACATTGCTTTTCATTCTTTATGGCAAAGTCAATGCTGCAGCCAAGATGGCAGGCTTTGCCAACATTGCTGCCTTTCTCTAGGCTCAAGGCACTATAGACTGTAGACATGTTAAGAGCACCATATCATAAGCTGACTTCATCAAGAGGAAAGGGTTCCATTTCATCAATCTACAAGTCTGTTGTGATCATCGATACCACATTAGAAGTCTGCGCCAGGTACCCTGGAATCTGCAATGAAGCCTATGTCCTTAAGAACTCCCACATTCTTGCTTCAGTTCAAGGGCAGATGCATTTCAAGGATAGTTACTGGGTAACTCACCCACAGTGAGTGTGGCTGATGACTCCATTAAGCAGACAATAGGCCTCCTGAAGATGCAGTTCCGATGCTTGAATCAGTCTGTGGGGGTTTTACAGTACAGTACAGAAAGAGCGTGCTGCATAATCCTTTCATGCTGTGCTCTGCAAAAAGAGGGGGGGGTGTGATAGATGCTGGAGAGCTGGGACAATGAAAGTAGTCTTCCAGGGAGGAAGATTAGGACATTGATCAGGACGAACATCAACGTCAGTGGTGCCTCATCAGGTGCAACAAGCCAGTCAGGATTTAACTGACACCTGCTTCCACTGGATCTGCTTTGGGTGCAGGCCCAGGTTGTGCCTTCGTCTTTGGTCTAGGGGTATGGTTCTTGCTTTGGAATGTATTGAGCAATGACATGTGAGTGATTCTGTGTTCAAATCCTGAACGTGCCAGTGTTTACTGCCCTTTAAGATGTGCAGAGAAAGAAATTAAAAAATAAATGAGGGCAACTTTTCAAAGAGAGAGTGGTTTTTGTGTGGAATGAACCATCTCAAAACCTTTGCCGCCTGAAGAGGAGAACGAATTTCATCCAAGGTGCTCCTGGCGCAAGAGGCAAGCTACTGTGCGTTGCACGCCATCCGTATCAGAGGCAGAGTTGGAGGAACCTGACCCAGTGCTGTAACGCCACAGGTAGAGCTACATTTAAAAAAAACTGGCCTGTGTCCTTGGATTCAGAGAGGGAAGGATGCATGATTGTAACAAGGTCACCCAGGTGGACCTCATAGAGTGTGAGTTCCAATTTGGGACTGGTTGACAGATAAAAACAGAATTGTCAAAGGTTCTGTTCACTCTGAGAGCTGGCCCTGAAGGAGCTGGATCAATATCTAGGTCTTTCCATGTGTATATAAAAGGTAACTTGGTGACATGATACCAGCCTCTGAGGTGTTATTTCACTGACTAATGCCTTGTATAGTTTTAGTAAACACCCCCCTCCCCCAATGCTGTATCATTCTCTGATTTGGCTGTCAATGCATTTTACTTTTATGCAGCGATTATCACTAGGCCATTCATTTCTTCATAGACATGTAATCAGTCAAAACAAAACAATGGTTTTCCTCCCTTTCATGTTATTTTCTCGTATGGACCCCAGAATATAAGTGGAAAATATGTCCCACAGTCCAAATTAACTTCTAGATTCAAACTCAAAACGAGTTGCTGCTAAAAAAAAGATACACTTGTAGAAGCTTTCTATCTTGCACTCAGCAGGGCAATTCACAAGAATAACCATTCAAGGGAAAAACTAATGTTTAGACTGGGGTTTAGACTGCATGAGAGGAGAGTGCTCACAACATAAAACTTGGTTTTCCCTTTGAATTGTTTTTGTGAATTGCCTTGATTGCAAGATGAAAAGTTTCAACAAATATATTCTTGTTCAGCAACATTCAGGTTCTGTGCTGTCAAATGATACATGAGGATGTCACAAATCTCAGTCAGCTGAATTCTAATCTTAGACTGGCACCAATTAAAAAACATGAATAGACAAAACTTTCGTGTGCTTCCTCACAATGCAAAAATGTAACAGATGCAAGTGTGTTTTCAATTTAGTCCATTTCCCTAAAGTAAAGATTTACAGCTGGTTATAGGGTGCAGTACTACATTATGTTCTGTCTGCTGAATATCCTCCTGTGTTTCTTGTTTCTAGTGGAATATGACAAGGAAATTTTCCACCAGCGGCGACATCACAGAGAGTTCAGGTTTGACCTCTCAAAGATCCCAGAGGGGGAGGCAGTGACAGCTGCAGAATTCCGAATCTATAAGGACTATACCAGGGAACGTTTTGAAAATGAGACTTTCCACATAACAATTTACCAGGTTCTGGAGGAAAACACAGAGAGGTGAGTGAAGGCAGAGGGACATGGTGAAATTGATTAGAAGTAAAAGAGAGTTTCAAAGCACATCTGACTCAAGTGTGGAACACTGACAAAGGCATTCAGACATCATGGGCAATGCTTCATCCAGGAAGCCCCTACACTGGCATAGCTAGAAGTAAGTCGGATTCTTGAGCAGACGGGAAGGAGCTAGTGATAGTTCTAATGCCCGCTTTCGCCTGTTCAGACACCACTCTGCTCTACATGCAACATTCTGATCTCCACCACAGAACAATGAAAGCTGAATTATAATGCTGTAGAAAGTACAGAATGAAGTTATGACTGAGAAAATATTTCCATACCAAGAGGCTAAGACTACCCCAATAAACTACCCCTAATAAACTCCCAATAACAATCCGTAATTATATTCTATAATGTAAAGTTCAGCTGGCTCGTAACCCAAACTCCAATGCCAAAGAGGATGTAGTCTACTGAGGTTAAGGTGAAAAAAATGTCTGACAGTTGTTCCTATACTAGATGTTCTGTTCCGTGCTCCATCAGGCCCTATCCTCCCCTGCCTTTCTCATCTGTGCCCCTCAGACTGTGCCATCAGGCCCTGTTCTTCCTCTCCCTCTGATCTATGCCCCTCACACTGATCTTCAGGCCCTCCGTTCCTCTCTCCCTCTGATCTGTGTCGCTCAGACTGATCTTCAGGCCCTGCCCTCCCTCTCCCTTTGATCTGTGCCCCTCAGATGGAAATGTAGTTGTCTTGTAAAAGGAAATGGCTGGCTTTCACCCTTCAACTGATGGCTGAGACTCTCACTCACTTAATCCAAAAGGTTACATTCAGAAGCACGCAAATGCATGTTAACAGCCTTCTTAATGAAATGGGCATCCCTGCCACATTGCTGCAGGTTTACCACCTCACTGTGGACTTCATTTGACACACAGTTTCAGTCATCAGGATTCCTACTTGTTTGCTCCCATCCAATTCCATAGACTTTCCTATCATTGAAACAACTTTGGCACGAGACTAAATTCCATTCCATGTTTAATATTACCTCTAATTCATCATGCTGGGGCAGCACAGTGGCTCAGTGGTTAGCACCGCTGCTTCACAGTGCCAGGGATCTGGGTTCAATTCCACCCTGGCACGACTGTCTGTGTGGAGTTTGCACATTCTTCCCGTGTCTGCGTAGGTTTCCTCTGGGTGCTCCCATTGTCCAAAAATGTGCAGACTAGGTGGATTGGCCATGCTAGATTGCCCATTTTGTTCAGGGATGTGTAGATTAGGTGGGTTGTAGGGGGATGGTCTGAGTAGGATGGTCAGTGTGGACTTGTTGGGCCAAAGGGCCTGTTTCCACACTGTGGGGATTCTATGAAAAAAAATCATGGCCTGTGAAATAACTCCACGGAGGCTACTATCCTGTCACCCTTTATTTACACATGATCAGTACAAGGACTCTGACCAGCTAGCTCAGAGTCAGTCCCTAGAGTAGGGAGAATCTCTGAGGCTGCTGTTTATATCTGTCAACAGGACTCCCTGATTGGTCCAGGTTAACAGCCGCAATCAGGAAATGCATACTCAATGAGATCCATCTGGCCCTCATTCCAAACACTACAGTATGTTATACAAAATAGTGTTATTGCCTGGAGCAAAGAAAAGCTACTAGGAGCAATGTCCTTATTTCTCTGTGAATGCCCTAACCAATCAAGTGTCCTCTAGAAATCAAGCGTAACTCCAGAATAGAAATAGAACACAAAAAGCATAGAAACTAGGAGCAGGAGCAGGCCATTCGGCCCCATGAATCTTCTCTGCCATTCATGGCTGATCCTCTATCTCAACACAATATCCCTTTCCCCATATCCCTTGACACCTTTAGCCTCCAGAACTCTTTTTTTCTTAAATATGTTCAGGGACTGATCTCCCCAGCCTTCTGTGGTAGAGACTTCTAGAGTCACCACCCTTTAAGTAAATGTGGCCTCAATTCAGTTCAAAATAGCCTACTGTGTATCTTGAGACCATAAACCCATTTTCTGAACATCACACCTGCATCTAGTCTTGTCAGCCCTCTCAAAATGTTATATGTTTCACTCAGATCCCCTCACATTCTTCTAAACTCCAGTGAATACAGGTAATCTATCCTCATATGGCAAACCTGCCATTTGAGGAATCAGTCTGGTGAATCTTTGCTGAACTCCCTCTATGATAAGTTTATTTCTTAGGTAAAGAGATCAACAGTACAAACAACACTCCAGTTTTGGTCTCACCAAGGCCTACACAGTTGCACTAAGATTTCCTTGCTCCAGTATTCAAGTCCTCTGGTATTGAAGGCCAATGCACCAAGTCCTAAATGCTTGCTGCACCTGACATACAAGGGCAACCTGGGACCTTTGAATATCAAGACTTCCCAATTTATCACCATTTAAATATTACACTGCAATTCTGATTTTCCTAATGAAGTAGACAACTTCAGACTTATCCACACCATACTCCATCTGCCACTCATTTGCCCAAACACTCAACTTATCTAAAACACCCTCAGAATTACATCCTCCCTGCCACTCACAATTCTACCTTGTATAATGTTGTCAGCAAACGTGGAAATATTATATTTGATTCTCTCATTCAAATCATCAATATGTATTACGAATAGCTGGGGCCAAAGCACTGAACACTGCACTACTTTCATTCCTGCTTTCCAATTCAAAAATGATCTATTTATTCCTACTCTCTGTTGCCTGTCTGCTAACCAATGTCACCAAAGCAGTGACCAAATACCCGCTGACTGACCTCTCAGTCAATGCAACAAAGCAAAACCAGAACTGGGATGTTTTAGAAAAGAAGTCTGTTTTAGAAAAGAAGTCCGTATTGTAAACTATTTGAAGTCTTTCTGGAAAACTTTGATTGGGTACAAAGAAGGTATTTCCACCTGTGACGGAGTCTAAATTGGTCCATAAATACATATTAATGACTCATTAATTGAATAAAGATTTCAGAACCAACTTCTTCACTCAGAAAGTGGTTAGAATACAGAACTATTACCATGTGAAGTGAATGTCATCATCATATTTAAGGGAAAGTTAGATGGACACATGAAGGATAAAGGAATAGAGGTCTGTGAATCTGTGTGATTTTGTTATGCTGATAGCATTAGACAATGTAGTTGTGCTGCAGTGGGGAGATTCATATGGAATATAAATACCAAGGCAGACTAGTTGGGCCCAATAGCCTGTTTTTGCATTATACATTCATGTAAGGAAATTACATGAGAATAGGCCATAGCAGAGACTAGGCTGAGGTCTGTATGATTTTTGTACAGATAGTTGTTGGATGCATTGCCATGTTTACACTACCTACTCTCTCCCAGCTGGATCGGTAAGGGATTAAATATGTTTTATTGTAGTTACAAGTGGATGTGCATTGGTTGTTCCAGTGTTGCTATGCTCGAAACAATAACATAGATCAGGGATGCCACTGTTATACTCGGCTTTGACGTAAAGCTCCTTACACTGGAAAGTGGGAGTAGTATGAGTAGGGTCTCGTTCTTTCAGATTGCATTTTGTCAGTCTACATTAGACTACGAAGTAAATGAGCCATGTTAAAGGAATTTGCATCTTGATGTCTGTGATATTTATTTTTGATGGTTTTTAATACAGTATCAGTCACTGTACATTTATAACACATATACTTTGACCACTGTGGAATTTATACATGTAACAATACTGAAAAAGTATTTGCCATTGTCTGCCAGTAGTAGCTGTCACCATTTATTGTGCCTTGACATTGTATGGCAAATTACACAGAAACAAAAATTGGCAAATTTTTGTCTGCTGTATCTTTTTTGATGGCTGGAGAAAGCTTAGTGTTGATGATTAATTGGGAAGCTGCAACATAAAGTACCTTTTAATGAGGGTTACAGGGCAGGGGGTGTAAATACAGAATTGGCGGACTGCGTTGCCCAAGGGCTTAGAGCACAATGTAAAATATTGATTATAAGTACCTCTGAATGTTAAAGTGGTCAGACATGGCTCACTCTCACCTTTTGAGTCAGAAGGTTGTAGGTTTAACACCCATTCCAGAGATTTGAGCAAAAAGATCATAGGATTTACACTTGAGAGTAGGCTATTTGGTCATAGAGTCATAGAGATATACAGCATGGAAACAGACCCTTTGGTTCAACTCATACATGCTGACCAGATATTCTAAATTAATCTCGTCCCAATTGTTAGCATTTGGCCCATCTAAACTCTTCTTCTTCATGTACCTATCCAGATGCCTTTTAAATATTGTAATTGTACCAGCCTCCACCGCCTCCACTGGCAGCTCATTCCATACACGCATCACCCTCTGCGTGAAAAAGTTGCCCCTTAGGTCCCCTTTAAATCGTTCCCTCTCACCTTAAACCAAAGCCTTCTAGTTTTGGACTTGCCTACCTCGGGGAAAAGACCTTGGCTATTCATCCTATCCATGTCCCTCATAATTTTATAAACTTCTATAAGGTCACCCCTTAGCCTCCGACACTCCAGGGAAAATAGCCCCGGCCTATTCAGCTCTCCCTGCAGCTCAAACCCTCCAACACTGGCAACATCCTTGTAAATCTTTTCTGAACCCTTTCAAGTTTTGCAACATCTTTCCTATAGCAGGGAGACCAGAACTGTCAAGCTGACTTGGTTGTGGTCTCAAGTCAACATTTTACACCATCCTCTATAACCCTTAATAAAAAGAACTGAGGATGCTGTAAATCAGGAACAAAAACAAAGTTGCTGGAAAAGCTCAGCAGGTCTGACAGCATCTGTGAAGGAAAAAACAGAGTTAACATTTCAGGTTCGGTGACCCTTCCTCAGAACTCAAACTTTGTTTTTGCTCCATAACCCTTGACTCCTTTGTCTATCAAAAATCTGACTAAATCTTGAATACATTCAATGATACAGCCTCCACTGTTTCTAGGGAAGATAATTCCACAGACTGACTACGCTCCAGGAGAGAAAATTTCTCATCATCTCTGATTTAAAAGAGAAATCTT